AGAGAGAGAGAGAGAATAAAGAATAAAAAAAGTATAATCCATATTCCGTAACTTGGTATGAATGAAATAAATAAAATTGGTCACTGGTCGTTGCAAATAAAAATATATGAATCGCGTCAGGATTTGCAGTAATGAACCAGAAGGGATGAACCAAAAACAAATTTACCGACAAACGTGGTAGGTAGATGCGGTTTTTTTCTCTTCAGTTTAGTCAGTCTGAGGTTTAAACGTGAAGTGCAACGTGCAGCCAGGCGTGCGGTGGGGGCTTTCGTGCGTGGAATAGGCTCAAGGCTGCACCAGTGTAACGTCGAGCAGTTAACTACTCGCGGTATATTCTAAGTACTATTGCTCACTACCGGTTTACAGCTTGCTACCTGCTCTCTCGATCGGTGATCGATCAATCGGATCTAATAGAGGGATAGGTAAAACTTGACGTGGAGAGGTGGTGATGGATAAAACGACGAGTATTCGCCACGGTGAAGAAAGATGCATCTCTTCGAAATCTTTTCGAGTCGTTTCGCATCGTTTCGCGTCGTTTCGCGTCGAATCACTCTGGGATCTGGCAAAGATTTAAGTCGCTTTCTCAACTTATTAACATGTTAATTCATTATTAATCGAGAAAGATAGATTAGAAAAACGTATATATATATATGATATCAGTCGAATGATTAATTCTACTGATGATCGATGGTTAATTGAAATGTAATGAAATGTCGATGAGATAAGGGATAGCATCGATGTAACGATAAATATAAAAAAAAAAAGTATGTTATTTTTGACGCTCAAAATTTTTATTTCAAATTTGTCATTTTAAATTTTAATTTTAAATTACAGAATTAAAATATTTTAAATTACTAAAGTTGATTTTTTTTTCTCTCTAAAATGAAAAGTTTTAAAAATAAAATACAAAAGTTAGTTTAAAAAAAGTTTTATTTGAAAAATAATTATAAATAATTATAAAGCAATATTTTACAAATTTATACAATAATTGTATGAAGAAATTCAGCGAAATAATCTTTAATTTGTTTTTTGATTGTTCGTTTAGCCAAAGAATTTTTCATATTTATTCTCATCACTTTTATAAATATTCTGTGATAATTCCATTTTCCATTTAATTTATAATTTTTCTAGATAATAATGCCATTATTCTTTTAAAATTATAAAATTATGCTTAGAACTGATCTAATCGATCGATCATTATTCTCATAAGAATATTTGACAATTGATTGATATAATCCTTCGTGAATTATCGACGCCTACCCTAAACGCGTTTGAATAATTCCTTAATTTTCGATAATTATTAATTTCTGAATTTCTGAATAATCATGGTTAATTTAATTTGTCTAAGGGCTGTTTTATTTAAATATTTAACTTATTACCGGAAAAACTTTCGCATTTTCTCTAACTATATTAATAATACATTCGAAACATTTTAAAAATTATTTTGTTTGAACAATTTTACAATATATTCCTGTATTTTTGCCAGAAAATCGAAAAGATTGGTATAAAAGATGAGGATTTTCCATTTAAAGAAATTTACAATTGATGTGTAGTTATATGACCTTGATTTGATATCGGGATAAGATCGATATTAAATGCGTTCCTTTAAATTTTACAATTTTTGTCTAAAATATTTTTGTCAATGAAACTAAATTTCCGAGATATTCTAATCTATGTCTAAATCAAAATTCGAATCAAAATAACCGGATATATAAAAAAATTATTAATATTTTCGATTTCATAATTTATGTACACTGCTTTTGTATTTTAATTCATTTTTATATTTATCACATACATGTACTATGTGGATAATCGTTATATTCTAGCGTTTTTTTACAGAATCATGATGTAACTCGATGATATATTTTGCATTATTTAATTTTGAATGCATTTATCTATATTTAAATTAATTAAGATATTGATATAAACATTAACTGTCTATAATGTTAAACGCTTTTTTAAATAAAAAAGTAATACAGGTTTTTTTCAGTGTTTTCGTATTGCAATGTGATTATTTCACATAGAACATCAACTAGTGATCTTGATTGTTAACCCAAATTTTAATTAGATCAACGATTTATTTGCCAATTAAGTGTTAACATTATTTTCATATTGTATCGTATTTATATTCGATAATATTCTTATTATCGCTATACTTAAATTATATACTTTATTAAATTATGTAAATTATATTTTGTCTTTGTTCGCTTTATCATTTCATTTAAGAATTTTAGAATTTTAGAATTTTTTGATTAAGAAATGAAGATTTGGTTGATCAATAAATTGAAGATTATTTGTTTCTTTGTTATACATCGATTTCTTAATAAAATAATTCTTCTTATTATTTTATTCCTATTTGTAATATATGAATTAGATATATGATAAAAATCTATATGGTAAGGATAAATCTATATCCAACTAAGTCGATATAATGAAATCACTTTTGCGTGTTATCTGTAGAATCAGAAATTTGATTAACAATTTTAAACTTGAATATTGCGCTATAAATAATAAATAATATAATATAAAATATAATAAAGCGGTAAAAATATTTCGGATTATTATTTATCTTATCAAAATGTAATAAAATTTGTGTTTTATTATTTTCGATTTCGAATCTTGTTTATTTACTATAATATAATTGGACATATGAATCATCATTTGTATTCATTTTTCGCCATAAAGTTGATACTAAAACGTTATGTAAATATAAACGTTATGCAAAAAATCGATATATTTTTAATTTATATTGTCTTATTGTCTTATCTGTATTTTTAAGTTAAATTTTATTCAAATCATGTAAATTCAAACGATTATGAATCAAAAATCGAGAACTTTTCAATATTCCGAGAAAACAGAAGATTTTTTTTTTTTTTTTTTTTTTTTTTTTTTACTATCGAATTCATATATGCTTTCATAGCAATGCAAATACATTGAAACGCACTTCTTACCATTCAATATGCATTAATTAGATGGTAAGACCGAACCATGTTCCCCGCGCAAGCGGAATTCCAGTCTAGTAACCATACGTACAGTTGTCCGGTGTGAGCTTTAAAACATTTTCCCAGAGTATAATACACGATCAACTTTTCAACGAGAATTCAAAATTTGAGTCCGTAGAAGGTGTTAATATATATATATTTCTTCTTCTTTTTTTTTTTTTTTATTTTGAAACTTATTCAGAAAAAAAATTTTTGTCCCCTTCGAAACAGATCGATGCTTAGGTTGTTCCATTCAAGAATAAAATTCGTCGAATTAATTTGTTATTCCACTGGAACTTTATATTTTATATATCATATTTTTCATCCTAAAATCAAGGTTTGACTCGTCGCGTTTTAGCGATTATTTTAGCAACCTGGAGAAATTTTTTCAGAATGCTTAATAATTGACGTTTCATTCCAAGTAGTCGGATCCTCGCTAATGAAGAAATTAAATGAATTCGTCATTTATGTAGAAGGATTTCTTTATCCCTCAAAAAAAATTTTATATATGTTATAACGCTTAATACATTTTAGTACGTATTGTTAGAATTTATAAAAACGGTACAATGGAAAAAATATATGTATAAGAAATAAAGCGAGGGAAGGAAAGTGAAGAAAGAAAAAAGGGAGGTAACGAGTGAATCAGAAGAAGCACACTTGTGGCAGCGAAATGAACTGGCATCGGTACACCGATACGTTGAGTGGGGATAAGGGTGAACAGTGGTGGCATGACGACGACACGACACAACGACGACAACGACGACGCGCACAGTGGTGACGGCGTCAGTGACGGTGTGACGGTAACCGGGCAGAGTGGGATGGAGAGAGGTTCGGTTGCTCCACTGCGAGCAGAGGCGGTGCGCCACTGCGAAGGGTAGGGAGTAGGGGAAGGGCGGCGGTGTGGAAGTTGGGATGTAGTGTGAGGTGCAGGAGGGACGCGAAGAGTGCGGTCAAGTGTACTGGGTAACTAGGTCAATGAGAGAACCGAGAGAACGACGTTACTTATTACAGGAGCACAAGCACAAGCACGCCACTGCGAAAGCTCTCTCTCTCTCTCTCTCTTTTTCTCTTTCTATCTATCTTTTCTAACCTCCTCTTTCTTTCTTCTTCTTTGTATATATCTATTCACTCTCACCGATATTCGACATTCCATGATGCAACGGATTGCGCTGTTCGTTCGATCGACACATTTCTTTGTTTTGTCTCTATCCGTGTTATTTTTCATTAAATAGCCTGTTATTATTGATTCGTTTAATTTTTTCCGTGTATGTAAACTTAGTTAAATTGTCTACGATGGAATGACAAACATGCAGTTAAAGAGTTTCGTTTATCAATTTTATCTACATGTTTCCTTTCTTTTTGCGTCCTATATTGTTGATTGCAGACGACGAATTTGATATTCGCAAACGATTCTATAAATTTCATTCTATAAATTCTATCGTTATCGATCAATTATTTTCTTTAAGGAAACAAGGGTATACGTTGAAAAATGTTCTAGACGCGTCGCTGCTTTTTATATCTTTACGCTTATACACTCGGGGAAGAGAACACTTACTATACGTACACGATGCACTCGAGATTGCATTACATAACGCGTACAGCATATTGTTCGCGATGCAGATTTTGATTGCAGTTAAATTATAGGATGATTTTTGTTATTATTTTATGATTTTTGTTATTATGATAAAAGCATAAAATTAGCGATTATATATATTTACTAATAAATTTGTGCTAATAAAATTAATTTATGTATAAATTTCACAATAAATGTGATAATTTATACTTTTAACGTTATATATAACATTAACATTTAAAGTATTTGGTTGGATCATAAAGATAAACGAGAAAATGTATGCGCACGCGTCACCCTACTCGTGGATACGCTTTTAACATATATCGATACCGGTAGAAGGTGGTCCAAGTGCATCGGGTAAATGGGTCAAGCGAATTAATTCTTGTTGACGAGCTGCACTTTGTGTTTCGGTACATAACGAAAGTATCGTTTACGTTCCGTGCTTAGAAGGATTTGGAAAAAACGCCGAGATTATTCATATTCATGAATAATATGAAAATGCTCTGTTTAAAATATTTACATATAAGAATACATCTCCTTTTCTTTTTTTTTTTAAATTAAAAATGTTAAATATTAAGAATGTTTAAAATATTATCTTTTAAAATATATATTTATATTATTTAAGGAATATTTTTCTTTTTTTTTTTTTTTTTCATAACATAAAATAAGAATTTTCGGAAAGAACAAGAAAAAATCAGAATATATCACATTCTCTTATTATTGATGATAAACATGGTGCTTGTGTAGCAATATTTATACTACCACGCGTATATGAATTCTGAAATTAGTTTCGTAACAATTAATTATCATAATATCGTGGATCCTGCTTCTGTGATCCTGTGAGATGCTGTAATAAATTTGCAATATATATATATATAAAATTTCTAATCGATCATAATACATAAGATGCATAAGATGTGAAATAATATTTAAATTTTGTTCAAAATGTTTAATATTATACACATGAATTTCCATTTCCATATCGATGTTGTTAAATGAGCCAACAATTGGTGAGCATTTCGTATCGACCAATTTGTTTGTACACTGCAATGCGAAACCTGTGTATCTTGAATCAAATTGATCAAATCGATGTCAAAGTTTAACATTAACTACGAGAAATGTTTTATCGTTTAATGAAATTTTGTCGATGATCCATAAAAAAGTCGAATCTCAAAGATAAGAAAAGCAAAAGCTCAATAATATAATCGGTCGATAACATTATTCGATCGAAATGTGAAAATGCCCGATAAAAACATTCGATTAAAAGTAACTATTCTCGTGTTTATATATATATATATAAGTATATACACACAAATTCGATATCTTTTTAATCAAATGTTTTTTAACATAATACGTGCGTGTGTATGTGCCAAATTAGAGGCAAGCAAACGAGTACTATGCACGTGGGTACGATGGAAGTTTAGAATTATGTTCTGTAAGTACATATATAAAACTGTATTACGCTGGTAACACGCATGCGGATCTATGAACGTTAGTAGTAACGTGGTGCCAACAAGGAATCAGGTCACTCATATCATACTGACCTACATACCGTTATCGGTTGTACTATCGCTTTTGATAAAACGTTTATTAAATGTATAATGCCGAGAAAAGATTCAAGGTATTTATTGCTCTTTCTTCTTCTTTTTGTTTTTCCCTTTTTTCATTTCTGTCTATATATACATCGTTCTTCTTCATCTTTTTTTTCCATTTAAAAGTCATGTTTTAGGAATTACTTTTCGAAAATTGATCACAATTCAAGTAGAATCATTAAAATAATTTCGATTTATCATTACATCAATTTCTGTATCCTTCTGCTGCTAGTCTAATGATCACGTCGGTAATAATAACGTGGGTAAAAACGCCTCCCCAACATGCTAAAAATAACGAGCAACAACGACTCGGATGACCTCGCGCTGGCCACCGTCCTTCCTCGATCGTTCGAACTCTTCAACTTGACCTGAATAGAAAAAATCATTGCTACCGTTGATTTATCGCAGTTTTCTTTTCAATCTTAAATCTCGATCTATCGTTTGACAAAATTTGACTTTATTTTTTCAAATAAAATAATTCCATTCGAAAATAATTTGAATTTCTTTTTTTTTTTTTTTTCGTTTTTTTTTTTCAACTTTTTTTGAAAATTGATTTTAATAAACATATACTGAAAGTCATGTTCATATATCAATTGATATTTAGGAAAAAAATAATATAATAGATTTTGTTATTTGTATTAATCTTTTCCATTCCTTCTCTCTTCTTTCAATACCATCAATCACCATAGTCAATAATAAATCGTAATATATTTAAAACGGAATTGATAAATTCATCTTACATTATGAATTCTGATATATATACTTGCTTATATATGCATTCATTCATATATATTCATTAATTAATTCGGTGCATCGAAGGAACAAAGTATATGTTCAACATTTGTAAATCTTAATTACCCTGTTTCGAAGTTATATATGTCAAAAAAGTATATTTACGTTACGCATATTAAGTTGTATAAGTATCGCGCAAGATGGTTCTTCCATCAGGTTTTGTCGCGATTACCTGATAAAAGAGGGATCGTAGAAAAAAATTTATGAATTTTAACGAAAATAAAATTCATCAGGGAAATCGAAAGAACGTAACAATATTTTCTAATCGGAAGAGGGATATATAGACACAAACTTAGCATCATGTAGGCAAGCATGTCAATGAAAGTGAGAGCGACGAAAGAGAGAGAGAGAGAGAGAGAGAGAGAGAGAGAGAGAGAGAGATGTAGTAAGAAGTAAGAACGAAAGGAAAACGTAGTACGGAGAGAGA